GTCGTTGGAGATACCAGCACTCAGATCTTTGTAGTATTCGAGGAACTCGTGCCAAGTGATAACTCCATCGCCACGCGAGTCGGACTGCTCGAAAGCGCTCATCATTTCAAGCATCGCGTCCCGAGGCTTCATCCGTCCCGCGAGGACTTCAGGATGTTGTGAGGCATCGTACAGACGCTCAACTTCTTCAAGTGTAGCTTTGCCATCTCCAGACGTATCCAGCAACGCAAACGCCTTCTTCACTAGCAGGATACGGCGCTTAGGCATTGATCCCTGCCACCGAGCTACTTAGCATGTATTTAGACTAGTAAAAGGTACCTAGTGCTTACCCGAAGCCCACGCATAAGCTCGTCAACAGTGATCTTGCCACTTTGGTCGCGATCAAAGCACCGGAAGGTGCGCTCTAATTCTTCTGGACCGGCGTCACTACCCCCCAAATGTGCGATGCCATCGCGAAATTCCTGCGTAGTATCAACATTTTCGCGTGAGAATGGAATCGTATCAATACTCAGTTCTACATGAACATACCTCAAACTCGACCATTCCGTTGCCATTCTGGTCCATTCGACGTAAAATCACGCCCAATGTTCTAATGCCGTTCTTGCCACCAGCTTCCAGAATGCCTTCTCGTATCCTTTCCAGAAGCGATCGAACTCGTCCATTCAGCAGAACACGTCCAGAACATCCCGTGATGGCTTGAGCGAACTCGGCGTAGCTTAGTATACCGTCCAGATCCGCGTCGTAGCGATCAAATAAGGCTTCAGTCTCAGCTTGGACACCGACGAAGTTGAGCGACAACATGGCACGAACGAATTCGTCAAAGTCGACGACACCCGAGCCGTCTCGGTCAAAGCTGCGGAAGTGCTTGGCAAGTAACGCTGCCTGACTGTGCTCGTCACGATAACCCGATCGCACCTCAAACATTTCGCGCAGTTTGGTCTCCATCGCGTCCACTTTGTTATCACTCATGGCTTGTCTTCTAGCGTTCTGCTACTTCGAGAATAAGCAACACACGGGCGAACAGGTGAGTACCTGCATCCTCCTGTGTTGGACCTGTAACAGCCCTTCGGCCTCAAATAGGACCTCGTTTCAAAAGCCCGGAAAGCTGTCAGCTTCCAACATATTGTAGGAATTCGAGAATGTTGCAATTAAGAGCGGAATTGGGCACCGATCACAAAAACTGGAGCACCTCTCTATGGTGTATTCGGTCCAAGTAGCTCGTCATGAGCAAACAACACCTATCCAAGCAACTCATGAGCAAACAATGCAGTCTATCCTTTCATTATGACGACGTGCTTTGCTTGGACCGAATCTTCTTGCAAACATGCATCCGGTGAGCATGATGGTGCATTGTTGATTACGTGTGTTGGTGCAGCATCACCACGGAGTTCGTCATCATTGCAGCGGGGTTGACTTTGCTTGGATACTGTAGTGCAAATGAAATGTTTAACCCTTTTGAGCAAGACAGCAGCAGAGTTTTCGTGTGCGGGCCTGCCCACCCTAGTCCAGCTTACCGGTATAAGGAGGTTCCGAAAGGGTCAGATTGCTGTGCGAGCGTGGGCCGTGGATTTTCACTCATGATGATGCGATTTTGAAAGTGGGTAATCCAGCATAAGCGCTCTTTACCGACAACTTGTGGCGTTGTAATTTCCTATCACGAATTTTAATCACGGCTGCCTCACTGCAACGGCGACCGCGGTGGCAATGTTAATCGAAATCATTCTTCAATTTACCAAGCGCAACACACTTTCCCCTTTTTAGAGCCATTTTACCATGAAGTCAGCGGTTGCTTTTACGATTCTGGCCGTCGCCCTCGCCATTGTCCACGCTCAACAACCGCAGGTCATTAACCCTGCATCGAGCCGCGATGAGATCGACTGCCCCGAGTACTGCCTCGACGTGTATGATCCCGTCGGTGATGACGAGGGCAACACGTACTCGAATGAGTGCTACATGAAGCGCGCAAAGTGTCACAATGAAACACCCTCTCCTGAGTGGAAGGACCTCCGCGTTATTAGGAACGATGGCTCCACTGCCAAGGAATGCTCGGATATCTGTCCTGCCGTTGTGATGCCCGTCTGTGGCTCTGACGGTATCGGTTATGGCAACCCGTGCGAGCTCCAGGCCGCTGCCTGCAAGCACCCCGAGCAAAACATTGTCGAGGATCCGACTGGCGACGCATGTGGGAA